AAAAATGGGATTTACAATAAAAAGTAATTTACAAAATTATTTTGACTTGAGTTTATTTATTAATTAGTAACGTATCTTTTGAGTGAATGTGCACATGTTTAATGTTAACAGGTTTTACCATGTTATTACAACATTTTACCACTTTTTATTCATTTTAAAATCGAGAAATTCTTTCAAATTTAAATCTTGTACAAGAACTACAGCAAAAATCAGTTTGATGCATATTTTATCAATATTTTAGAAATTGAATTTTATTACCAGTACTGACTTCAATGGATTTCATTAAATTCCTTTGAACACAACTGCTCAAAACGGTCTAAATTTATGAAACCTACACATTCAAAACATTATTACTCTGAAATGTTTAATGTACATGTTAAGTGTAAGTGAAATGTTAAGTACTGTAAGGTCTTTCATGACACTACATATACTGGGGTGTGAATTTGAAAGGTGCTTGATATAAAATAAATGGTGATTTAAAAAGTCCTTGAAAGTCATTGAATCTGGTGTTCGTGAAAGAGTGGGAACCCTGAGTAGGAATGTTGACGTGCTGATGAAATTCTGGTAGAACTGAATGCAGTTTACACTGATTAAAGTCCCCAGCAATAATAAAACCAGTGTCTGGATCTGTGGTCTCGTGTGTGCTGATAGTATCGTGAATAACACTGCTGTCTGCGTCACAGTTCTTGTTTGCGATGACAGGGAAGGGACATGTTCGGTTAGTTTTGTCGTGGCCACAGCATATTAACTCTTGGAAACATGATAAAATGTCATGGTCATGAGATCATTTTGTCCAGGAAATTACATCCTTATGTCCTGGCCACACAATGTGTAGTCGTGGCATCCAGATCCTAAGTTGAGGGAACGACATCCATTTGTTGTATTTGGGAACATTTATCTTCTCAATTGGTGATCGTGTCTTTTTATTTAATATTTGTATATTATTGTTGTTGTTGTTATTATTATAACTATAATAATATTATAATAATATAATATTAAATGGTTAGGGCTATATTTTATATGTTATATATGCTTATTTCCCCTTTCAATTCGTGTCTCTCTTTACCTAATTAACATTCTGTATAATTAGGCTAGTATTATTAATATGCTACCATATATTTGGCAAATGCTGTAAACGCCTGACAAATATGACAATGAAGTTTTGACTTTATGATTATTTACTTCCGTATGTGATAATAAATGAGCATTGTGTTTTCATTTACAAATGAAACTATGCAAATGATTCATTCCTCAACGAAACATAATGATATTTATAGTTATAGAAAATGAAATGTATGTTAAATTCAACCTTTAAACTGCACTTCCAGTAAAAATGTTTAAGTACTTTATGTAACATTTATTCATGATAAACTTCAATTGATTGCTGTCTAGGCTACATTGCAGGTACAGTCCGGTAGCCTAGGCCTATGGTTAATTTAATAATTGAATAATGTAATCATTTCTAATAATAATATAATAATTTCTTAATTCAAAATGAAATATTAATAACTCAATCTCTGATAATCCCAGGTTGCTATGGTAATGCAGGTTTATTTATGCATTGAACTAATAGCCACGAGAAAAATATGTCGTTCCCTCAACAGGCCACGATATAAGGATGCGTTACCTCGACAAAATGATCTCGTGGCCACGACATATCACGTTCCCACGAGTTAATATGATCGTGGCCATGACAAAACGAAGTGAACCGAGCCCTCCCGGTACAGTACTTGTTCATTTAGAGGCAAATTAATAAATAAATAAAAGCAGTTGTAAAAATTAAGCATTAACTATGTTCAGGAGATTTCCACTTGTCTGGATTGTTACCAAATTTCAGTTCATGTACTTGCTGTTCTTTTTCATTTCCAAACGTCTTTTCAAACACCATCATTATAAGGCAATTTTTTATTGTTGCTAAGAGAAAATCTTTAGCATTAGAACATATAATGTTTGATATTTGCTGGTACATCTGTAGTTGGCTAAAATGTAGTTGGCTGTTTGTACACAATGAAAAAAAATTACAACTTTTTAGATGGTCCCTAACTTGTTTGCCACACTGCGTTAGACATACTGGACACACTTAGACGTTCGCAAGTAAGTATGCCATTGAACAATACTGTTTGTTTATCGATTGTGAAAAATGTAGTAGGTTACTTGACAATCGTTGGTCAGTATCGTGGTTTTCAATATCATGTCGCTGATTAGAATTGGCAAACTTTATTGCACATATAATTAGAAAGTTCTTGAACACGGAGAAGTTTGAATGTACGAATATAAAACCAACTTTACCCAAGTCTTTCGGTTAGAGGAGAAAATAAACCCCAGCGAATATGTTCTGTTAAACTTCTTAAGGTTCTGTTTCTGTATTTTTTGGTTTGTTAAAGAAACATCGCAACGAATCAGTTATATGACTAAATAGCATATTTTTGTTACAAATTATATCGAGTACTTACATCATAATTACTGGGAAAAAAACGTTATTGTGAGATAATTTGAGGTTAGGTCAAAGTGAAAAGGACTGATACAAGAATTTCATTAAAAAAGAAACTGAATAAATTAGTGTCTATTAGACAGTGGTGGGCAGTAACGAAATAGTTTTACTTCGTTACTGTACTTAAGTACATTTTTCAAGTATTTGTATTTTACTGGAGTAGTTTTATTTTGAGTAACTTTTACTTTTACTTCACTACATTCCAAAGCATAAGATCGTACTTTTTACTTCATTACATTTCATAAAACTTATCGTTACTCCTTATAATATATCACGTGCAAGCGGTGTCTGATTCAAGAACGAACTGATTCTTTTCAATGAACCCGTTAAATCGGTTCGCACATATTACCAAACGATTCATTCACGAATTGAAATGATCCGATTGCAGCTGTTCTCGAGTCGACAACTCACTGAATCAAATGAACCGTTTAGTGCGAGTCTCCAGTGAACTGAACTCACAAGTAACCGGGAGATCTTGTGAGCGTGCGTGGGTCTGATGCTGTTACAAGTAAGTTACTAATGTTGAATTTTAGGATTAATTATTGTAACTGAAAATCATATTTAGGTCAAAACTGTCAGTTGTTTGTGAACTAAATCTGCTGTAAAGGGTGATCTGTTTAAGCCCACTGAAATGCTTGAATGCAGACACATTAACATCAGTCTCTATGTTTTAGGTAAAAAAAATAACACAGATTCAATAAAATAACTCACGAACGTTCATCTTCCCCGCTGCTGTAACGTTAGCAGTTTGACTAAAATGCTATGCATTTAGCCCTATGTGATGTCTGTTTTTATATTGTTTATCAACACACATAGCCTAAGTTACTGTGTATCTGGATCAACTAGCAGAGTAGACAAATATAAATGTTTATTCATAACCATGCTGAAAATAAGTAAATGTTAGCTGATGCTAACTGTCTAGCTAACAAGCTTACTGGTGCTAAATTGAGGTAATTAAAAAAAAAATAAAGTCCCAAATATTTTTATTCAGCCACCTAGATTGATTACATCTGAGGGAAAATAAAGGATGTGATGTCCAGAACATGGTAACTACAGTAATTATCAAAGTGGGAAGTGATGCCCTCTGGAGGCATTTGACCAGGGGTGTTTTTACACCACAGACAAGGTTTGAGAAGAACAAAATCATTATGAAAATTGAATTATATTTTCCTTATTATATTCATTATTTCCTTATTGGTAATTTTGGGGAAATCCCAGGTATTTTGAGCAGTAGGATTATAAAAAAATATATGCTAATATAAAATGAAATGATAAAAGTAGCCTATATAAAACTGCAAAATAAACATCTATCGGTACTTTTTACTTAAGTACATAAAATCAAGTACTTTTGTACTTTCACTCGAGTAAAACTGAAAACTGAGTACTTTTACTGGAGTAATATTTTATTATACGGATCTGTACTTTTACTCAAGTACTTGATTTGTGTACTTCGTCCACCACTGCTATTAGAAAACTATATATGTGTACTGTTTTTCCCCCTTCTCAGTATTTTAACACTGTTTTATCTCTGCATAGTAATAAACATATAGAGGCCTGTGTTGTGAGGATGTTCTGAAGTGATCTGAAGTAAACCGACTCTCCGTCTGAGATGAGTCTCCCGGAGAAACAGAGGTGAGACTTTAGAGCCAGTCCTAGAGTTGTTCTTCTAATATGGCTGCAGATAGATAATAATAAATAAATAAATTTTTTTTTTGAATGTTCAAATATGAAGATGTCAATAAGGGGGGGAGGAGGGCTTGAAACTGAGTTTAGTTTGTGTCTATTAAGTCAGTTTAGAAGAGACAAACACTTAAGAATATGGTTTGTAGGAAAATCCCTTGTTTAGAGTCCAGTGGAGGAATGCATGGGTGTTTTTCCTTCATGACGGAAAGGAAGTTTATATTGTGGCAGAACAAACAATAACAAGTGATCCAATTGGTGCATCTGGGGCAGGGCCGTCCTTTGGGCAGTGCAGCTGGTGTGATCTAATGGACCGAGGGGGATGATAAAATTTGGAGTAATGTTGGTGGCAAGATAGCAAAGTAATGCACAAGAGAAAAAGGGATGCAAGTGACGCCAAAGAAAAGAAATGAACGAAACCGAAAACAGAAAAATCAGATCTAACTCATAATTCAACTTCTAACCAAATTAACAGACAAATAAAAATAAAGCAATTCTTCAGCGCCGAGAACCCTAAACTTCCCAAATCCAACTAGCAAACAAAACTTACAAAGGGTGGCATTCACTTTCTTACCCGGGGTGTCGAGTTACCTATATATTGCACTATGTAAGTCACGTGACTTCTCACCTATCTGTGTTTCCTATGGACAAAGCAAACGACAAAAAGGAAGGGGGGGAAACAGAATGGAAAAAAATAGCAAAATAATAACAAAGTGGTAGGATTAAAACTGTCACCAAACAAATGATACTAGCTCAAAAACAATACAAAAACACAACACAAGGCAAACAAGCAGGGGAGCAAGGATCCTCTCTCTTTCATTTCAACATGCTTTTATATGCTGCTGGGAAACTTGGTTGGCAGCGGAGAAGTTGAAATTATGCCGGTTTAATGACAGCATCCCAAACCAACTGGAATTCAGAAAGTGTGAACAAACATGTTGATCCCATCCCACTGAATCTTTGTGGAGTGGCAAGATTTTTATTTTTATTTCCATTGATTCAAATATCAAACACAGAAAAAGTTAAGGAATGTGTCCAAAACATTACATACTTTTGTTAAATTTCTCTTCCTATGGTTAAGATGAGAATAAGACAGTTATTGTTGAAGGTCAAATGTATTTCATTCCTGTTTGCAACATCAGATGTCTTCATATGAGATTGATGAAACTCTTGTCGTAAAATGTTTCTCTCTCTGTTCTTTGTGTCATTAGTGTAAGATCAGGCTTACGTGTGTCCAGCTCTGTGTCTGTGAAGAGTGACTGTTCAAAAGATTTTAAGCCACCAGACTTCAGTGAGAAAAAACCATCATCTACAAAAAGGTATTTTGTTAGTTTCTCCAACATTAGTAGTTTGTCACAGGTAGATTAGCAAAGACTATATATTTGTTCAGTAGGCAGTGGAACAGTGGAGAATCTGAAATCTGGGTTTCAAACCGTATGTAAGCTGGATTTTCTTTGTCAGGAATATTTTTTGAACAAATGTCATGATCAAAAATTAAGAAGAAATTCTGCACTATTTCTAGGTCAATCAGATATGGTTGACAATGATCATGTTACTAATTGTAGATCAGATCTTTCTTCCTCTGAAGCTCAAGAGGTTAACTGACCAAAACGGCACTGTGAATGTCTATGACAGTGCACTGCGGATTTATAGCCAAAAGAATTCTGAATTCGCAAACTTAACTGCGGTCGCAAACAACGCATTTCTGTGGAGGACAAGATATCGAGAGCATGTGCAGATATCAGACATGACAACCTTCCGTAGTAAAGCATTTTTCTCTCTGTTCTTTGTGTTATTAGTGTAAGATCAGGCTCACATGTGTCCAGCTCTGTGTCTGTGAAGAGTGACCAGTCAAAAGATAAATCAATAAACTTCAGTGAGAAAACAACACCGACCAAAAGGTATTTCATGTGTTTTTTATTATACCATTGCATTAGCTAATTTCTCAACTGTGGTGTATATGATAGAACGTGACTAAATAAAACAAAACCAGACTTCATTGAGAAAACACCATCACCTACCAAAAGGTATTTTGTATGTTTCTCCAACATTAATAGTTGTCAAAGGTAAAGCAAAGACTATATATATATATTCTAGCAGTTCAGACAGAATATACTGTTGAGTCCACATTAGAAATCTGGGTTTCAAAACCCAGAACCTTTTAGGAACAGTTTCATTAAAAAAAGGTCAAACAAATGTTATGAGCTAAAAATGAAGACATGTGACTATTTGTACAGTAAATCTGATTTTTGTCGTCAACTGAAGCTGAAGACGCTTTTTGGATAATCTCAAATCAAGAAAACCATTAGGTTTTGGGGGCAAGATTTCTACCAGAAATTATTTAAGCAGAATTTTTTTTCAGCACCAATTATTTTGTGTAGTGAAAATCAAGGCAGATGCAGTCAAACACAGTGAATCTTGTGAGACTTTCCCAATTCAGAACAGTCAATTTATTGACACAGTCAAACTAAACCTTAGCAGTGGGTATCTGTATGCTGAAGCAAATTATTCTGAAGTAATGAGTTGAACAAAATCAATGTTTTTAAATCAGACATTCATTAACAGATGTTAGAAACTGGATAAACATGTAATTTAATTGAAGTAACAGCTTTGTTGCAGGGACATTGCTGCTTTCCATTTTCCTTAGTAAAAAACTATTTCTGTGGAGGACGAGAGAATGAGAGTGTGTGCAGCCATCAGACACGAGTCTTCTCTCTGTTCTTTGTGTCATTAGTGTAAGATCAGGCTCACATGTGTCCAGCTATGTGTCTGTGAAGAGTGACCGTTCAAAAGGTGATCCACCAAACTTCAGTGAGAACAAACCAAACAAAAGGTATTTCATGTGTTTGCATTATAGCACTACATTGGCTAATTTCTCTACTCTGGTGTATATGAGAGAACGTGACTAAATAAAACAATAAAACACAATACAAAATGTCTGGCAAGCTGCTTCACTCTAGTGAACTTGGTCTGGAGCTTCATTCCAATTTAACAATTGGCTTGTTGTGTATGGTGGCCATGCTGGATTTCCAATCTAGTGAGTGTGTGCATGGACACTTTGGGTTTCACCAGAGATAGCAAAAAGTATGTGTAATAGATATTTACAGGCTTTACATAACATTATTTAAAATACTACTAAGGTCTATGTTACTATTACATTAGCCAGTGACATTTCAGTCAGGTGAATGAATGAAATACACTTACAAAGCGAAATTTGTGGTGGATTCATGCACATTTCCATGCTAATTATGGCTTTTGTAAATATGCAAATATGTGAGATGATATTTAAGAATAAAACATCACAAAAATATGTATAAAAACAAAGCAAGACCCATCAGTTATAAAATAAAATACTATATAAATATCTTAAAATGATTATGCCTATACACTAGTAACCTGTAGCCTACCTGGATCAGAAAATGTAAACATACACTTTATATTTCTGTAAGTGTCTTTAACTACTGTGTACTTACATTTAAATTAATAATTTAATACAATGCACTTACAGTGCACATACATGTATTTGCATTGTATAATATATATGAAAGTATGAATCATTTTGTCAGTTTGTTAGAAAATAAGAACTTATATTCGTACCCAATTTTATTTGTAACTTATATTTATACCCAATTGGCAAAAAGGTTGAAAGTGAACGTGTACCTAAATGTTTAGTTAAAAAAATAATAATTCCTTAAGTACTTCCAGAAATAAAACCCTATTGGTAATTGTGATTATTCTTTACTTTGTTTAACATGATCAGTGGCCAGCCTTATTTTCCTGACAGGGTTCAACATGAGAAATCAGACACAAAGGTTCAGAAGTGCCACTTCCACAAGAAGTTCAGAGAAAATCTCCACAGCGTATTCCAGGTAATAGAATACATTTCTTCTAGATTACATTTGGACTTTTGTTCTATGTGTAAATTATTTATATTTTAAGCATTTTTGATATGTGAACATACAATTTGGTTAATTTTTGTTCTACACCTTTTTTCTTGCTTATTTTTAGGATCTTGAGAACAAAATAATAACATTTTTGAAGTACGAGCTGGAAAAGTTTAAGAAAATATTAAAAAAGGAAAACACACAATACTTTGTGAGGGATAAAGATGACATGTGCAGGATCAAAGAAGCAGCTCTTGATCTCACACTCTACTTCCTGAGAGAGATGAAGCAAGATGAAGCTGCTGATAATCTAGAAGGTAAGAGTCTTATGAACATAGACTGACAGATTGTCACTTATAAATGTATAAGATTTTAATGAAAATATATTTTTGTTCCTGTGTTTAGATAAGCTGGTCTTCATGCATCTTAAATCAAACCTAAAGAAAAAGTATCAATGTGTGTTTGAAGGAATTGCTAAGCAAGGTGATGCTACGCTTCTGAATAACATCTACACAGATCTCTATATCACTCAGGGTTGTAGTGAACAGGTCAATACTGAACATGAGATAAGACAGATTGAAGTTACTTCCAGGCGTCATGAATCACAGGAGATACAGGTTGAATGCACACATTTATTTCAACCTGGAAAAGACAAGAAGATCAAAACTGTGCTGACAAAAGGAGTTGCTGGCATCGGAAAATCAGTCTCTGTGCAAAAGTTTGTTCTGGATTGGGCTGAAGGAAAAGAAAATCAAGAAATCAGCTTCATATTTCCTCTTCCATTCAGAGAGATGAACTTACAGGATAAAGAAAAACAAAGTTTGATGGACCTTATAACTCAGTTTTTCCCGGAGACAAAAGGACTGAACCTTGCAAAGAGGAATATGTACAAAGTCCTGTTCATCCTTGATGGATTGGATGAATTTCGTCTTCCTCTAAACTTTGAGGGTAATGAGACGTGGTCTGATGTATCTTCACCAGCCTCTCTGGATGTTCTCCTCACAAACCTCATCAAGGGAAATCTGCTTCCTTCTGCTCTCATCTGGATCACCACCAGACCAGCAGCTGCCAGTAAGATTCCTCCTGACTGTGTCGACCGAGTAACAGAGATACGAGGATTCAATGATGCACAAAAGGAGGAGTACTTCAGAAAAAGATTCAAAGATGAGAATCAAGCCAAAGAAATCATTGATCATGTAAAAAAATCAAAGAGTCTGTTTATCATGTGCCACATCCCAGTCTTCTGCTGGATTTCAGCCACTGTTCTCCAAAACATTTTGGAAATGAAAAAAAATAATGATCAGAAAAACAATCAGGCGGATGACGCCTCCAAAACACTGCAGGAATTAAACACTGGAGACACTCCTAAGACTCTGACACAAATGTACACACACTTTCTCCGCTTTCAAATCCAGCAGAGCAGACGAAAGTATGATGGAGAATACACACCAGATGTTTCCTGGGATAAAGATGCCATCGTTTCACTGGGGAAACTGGCATTTCAACAACTGGAAAGAAACAATGTAATCTTCTATGAATCAGATCTGGAAGCCTGTGGTATTGATGTCTATAAGGCATCAGTGTATTCAGGCATGTGTACCCAGATCTTTAAGGAGGAAACAGGGATCATTCTTGGTACCATGTACTGCTTTGTTCACTTGAGCATTCAAGAGTTCATTGCAGCCCTTTATGCACATCTGTTTCTAGACATGAACAAGAAAAGCGTGTTTGTTCATGACTCTACAGAACAGGAAAACAAAAATGAAACCTTGACTGATTTGCTCAAGACTGTAGTTGACAAAGCGCTTGAGAGTGACAATGGACATCTGGACCTTTTCCTTCGCTTTCTTCTTGGCCTGTCAATCCAGTCCAATCGGCTACTCTTACAAGGTCTGTTGACACAGCAAGACGAAAATGACCAAAGCAAAAAGGAAATAGTTCACTACATCAAGCAGAAATTTGAAGCTAATCTGTCTCCAGAGAGATCCATCAATCTGTTCTACTGTCTGAATGAACTGAATGATCAAACTCTGGTGAAAGATATTCAGACCCACATTAACAAAGGAAGTCTCTCATCTGCTGAGCTTTCTCCTGCCCAGTGGTCTGCTATGGCCTTTGTGTTGTTGACATCAAAGGAGGAGCTGGAGGAGTTTGAGCTTCAGAAATTCAAGAAATCAGACGAGTGTCTCATTAGATTATCAGCAGTCATCAAAAACTCCAAAATAGCTCTGTAAGTCATTTAATACTATTTGGTTATTTAGCATATATTTATTATAAACACATCGTTCCATTGTTATTTTCACTCCAATATGAAGTTATTGCTAACTGCAACTTCCTAATTTAAGTCTTCTTTTGTTTGAATGATAATTCAAACTTCTTAGTGTTCTAATAATTAACCTCCATATTCTCCACCTCAAAAGACAGAGTGCTTTCAAATATAAAACTCATCGTCAATAAAGCTATAAACCTTAAAATGGTATTCTTGTTTGGTTTATGTAGCAAATTTGTCACTTAATCAAACATACTAATGATTTTGTAGTTGCAATGTCAGTCTAGCCCACCAATCTTACAATATTTTTAATGATCATGTAAGAGTAATAGATTGATAATACATTTCATATTTGTATTTAGCTCATGCATTTTACTGTATTTTACTGTATGTATTCAATCTAATGTGACTTGTTTTCCTTGTAGCCTGAATGATTGTGACTTAACAGACATAAGCTGTTCAGCTCTGGCTACAGTTCTAGGTTTAGACTCCAGTCTGAAAGAACTGAACATGAACAGTAATAATCTGCAGGATTCAGGAGTGAAGCTGCTCTGCACTGGACTGGAGAACGTAAAGTGTGAACTGGAGATACTGAGGTAAGTTGTGTGATAACCAACAAAAAACTGATCTCAACCAAACCTAAAGATTATTATTTTGTTTTACATATTCTTTTCAAAATGTACATTAATAGACAAATGATGAATTTCACAGTTTACTATCTCCCTTGTTAAAAAAATATGGGCATTATGCAAAATGATTAATTTAAATCTCCTTTTGTTTTACTAATAATGTCTAACTTTCATTATCAAGGTGTTGAAAAGCAAATTTCCTAATATACACTAAAAGCAACTAGGTAACTTTTATCATTACTGCTATCTAAATCACATATATATATCCAATATGTAATTGGATGTAGAAGACCTTATAGATATAGACCCTTTTTATATAGACATTCTTCCAAGTTAACATTTCTATTTTGCTTTTGTTTTTTATATTTACAGGTACGTCTCAAAAAATCAGAATATCATTTTTTAAATATTTTTTGTCATTCATTTCAGAAAGTGAATCCCATATATTATATAGATTCATTACACATAGAGTGAAATATTTCAAGCCTTTATTTCTTGAAATTTTGATGATTATGGCTTACAGATAATGAAAACCCAAAATTCAGTGTCTCAGAAAATTAGAATATTACATAAGATCAATAAAAAAAAGGATATTTTAAACAGAAATGTCAGGCTTCTGAAAAGTATGTTAATTTCTATGCACTCAATACTTGGCTGGGCCTCCTTTTGCATGAATTACTGCATCAATGCAGCGTGGCATGGAGGCAATCGGCCTGTGGCACTGCTCAGGTGTAATGGAAGCCCAGGTTGCTTTGATAGCGGCCTTCAGGTCATCTGCATTGTTGGGTCTGGTGTCTCTCATCTTCGAGGTAATTAGCTGATTAGGGTGTGACACCATGACTTTCCAATATTGAACTTTTTCACAATATAAAAATTTTCTGAGACACTGAATTTTGGGTTTTCATTATCTGTAAGTCATAATCATCAAAATATCAAGAAATAAAAGCTTGAAATATTTCACTCTATGTGTAATGAATCTATATAATATATGGGCTTCACTTTCTGAAATGAGTGACAAAAAATATTGACCTTTTTCATGATATTCAATTTTTTTTTAGATTTACCTGTATATATTTAGGCAACCATTAGATGCAGCTCTAGGAATGAGTCAGAATTCAGATACATTTATTAATTTTGAGCTGGTTAATCCACCACAGAAAGGAAGGCTTAACTGTTTTAGCTCAAGCTAAAAAATTGTATGTTCCTGGTCCATAAGTGTGGACTTTAATTAGGCTATTCCAAAACGTACATTTTGTCTTTCAACTATTCTGATGTAGAGTTACTTGTATGTTGTGGATCATTCAGATGAAAGAGTTTCACAACTTTAGAGTTTTAGATAATTGAAACATTGTAAGTGAATGTAAGAGTATCGGGTGATTTGATGTCTAACATTTTTAAGGTCTCTGTGCCTTTTGTTTGCATATATACAGTGTCGGGTAAGTTGATCAAAAAAAGTAATCCACTACAAATTACTAATTACTTCTTTAAAATTGTATTTTGATTACATTACTGATTACTGCATTTAAAAAGTAATCAGATTACTAATTACTTTACTTTCAAGTTACTTTCAAGTTTACTTTACTTATCAAGGTATCAAACCTAAAAAATACACTACAAAGAGAAACTCATAGTTCTTTTATTAATTTAATATTGACTGAAAAAAAAATGCATAAGTATTATTTTTATAGCCTACACTCCCAATATCAACAAAACTTTGGGGGG